TGTATCCCTAGTAAAGCGGGGAAGGAGTTCTTATGTCCGTTTTTATGTATTTGAAGCATCCTGCCAACATTGTATAGTTCTCCTGTGAATGACATTTAAGGCAGCTTTCATAACAGAATTGAATCTTTCAAGATTTGATTTCCCTAAATTGTGTTTGCAAATGCACATGTTAAAGGAGAAAACAATCCTCCTCAGGAAAAACAATCAAAATCTAATAAGTGACCGCATTGCTGCTGGATGGCTATTTTTAGGACTATTGCTTTGGTGGTTCAAGTTTAAAAAAACCAAAACAAACCAACAAAAAAGCCCCCATTTTTTTTTTGAACAGCTGTTAGTAAGAAACTTCCTTTTATACTATAAATATCCTTTTATAAAGTTCTTAGCAAACTAAAAGAACAACAGAAAATCAGTTTGAGTAAGTAATGACATTGCAACAGCCTCTCTGCTGAGGCCATAGTTAACTGCCAGTAAGAAACTTTGTTACTGGTGTTCCACTAAGGAAAACTTTAAAAAAGAAAAGTCATTTTTCTGAAGTAAAAATGTGTGAGAAGCAGAATATGAAAAGTAATATGGTATAAGTGGTTGTTCATATATTTTATGCATAAATAGAAATAGTTAGCTGTGCTAGTCTGAAAACAGGGCAGGGTGGCCCATGAACCAGTTAATTTTTCAGGTGCCTCCTTCCCCTACCTTCTGCCTACCTTTAAAGCTATAAAAGTAAAAGGAAGCTTGTCCTACTTGGTCAGTTTGTTTCAGAAATATTTTTTTTATAAACAGTTGAACTCAGTACACTTTGACTGAATCTTTTTTTCTTTTTCACAATAGGGGTGGATCGACAACTTCAATGGACCTAGTGGTATTTTTATTGCTGTAAGTAAATATTTTTAGTACAGTTATGGATATTGTTGGCTTTCCAAGACAAAAGCAAAGTCTGAAATGTTTTATTGGTGGGCCTTCTGTTCTTTTCTTTAAGGCAGGAAAAGGAATTCTTCGAACAATGAGAGCCTCCAACAGTGCAGTGGCAGATCTTGTTCCAGTAGATGTAGTTGTCAATGCAACACTGGCTGCAGCCTGGTATTCTGGCATGAATAGGTATAACAGGTGACAGTGCAAACTAATTCACTTGGCACGTGGTGGTGTGATCTGCTGTTGTTATATCTAACCTCTTTTTATTTGCTAATCGGTGTCTTGCTATTCCCATAATATAAAGGAATTTAAGATTTATCATACTAACTCTCAAGCTTATAACTTTATAATAGCAAGCATCTGATACTGAAGAGGAAGACATCACCTCTCAGTAGTGCTCTTAGCCAATGGTGCTGTGGTATACATGAAGGAATAGAAATGTCTTCTTGCTTTCTCCAGTGGTTAGTTGTTTTTAATTAAAACACTTCTTATACCTACAACTGGAGTATTTCTTCCGAGAGGAAAGAATCAGTACAGCTGTTAAAGAAAAATGCTGGGAACATGTAGGGCAGTGCTGTGGCATCATGAGATCCGTTAGAAGGGTGCCACAAGGTGTGAGAAGCACAGGCTTGTCCCTGCCTGGCCAATCCTTCCACCCTTGATGCTAAGCCCCTCTGCAAGAAGTTAAGCATTGAAGTTATCGATGGGGTGCCTTGAATCCATTGAGGGGTACCTGGGGTCTAAAAAGGTTGTGAACTACTGATGTAGGTGCACACAGTTCTAATAATTAGATTATCCTCCACTGTCCCCAACTTCATAATTGGAGAGGGTAAGAGGGATTTGGATAAATGGGCTTTTTAACAATTACCTAAAATTCTGTTTGGTTTTAATTTGCTCAATTGCTTTTTTTAATCTTTTTCAGACCAAGAAATGTCCTGGTGTACAACTGTACAACAGGTGGCACCAATCCTTTCCATTGGGGTGAAGTTGGTATGTTGCCTCTTTTTTTTTTTTTTTTCTTTTTCTGTATGTCCTCCATAGTTTTTAATAGAAGGAAAATTTCTGAGGCTGTGGCAACCAATTGATTGCCAGAAGGCCCTTCTAAGTGCTTTTAGTAGAAATTTTCTGTAACTTTGAGGTATTGAGACCAGTATTTGTAAATAATATTTTTTTAAAAAGCAATAAATTGGATATACAGCAGCCATACCTCTCATCTTTGCAATGTGGCACGCCATTTTTTCCTTCTCTGTTCAGTTATTCTTCCTATATTCTGTTTTGCCACTTTCTGCCTTCACATAGTATGAGTTTTTGCTCTTCTCCCAACTGCTACCACAACCTAATCTGCCTGCTACAGGTTGGTAGAATGGAGAGTAAGGCACTGAGCAGAGGGAATATCAGAAACCTGGTAATACTAGAGCAGTATTTCCAAATTACTGAGTTTAGTGGTAACCTTGTTAGATGCATCTAGGAAATATAGCCCAAAAGAGATTTTTGTGCATGTAGCACACTTGAGAGGTATGATAGCAGCCTTTTACTTCATAGAGTTGCATCAGATGAATAAAAATGAATGTTGTCTTGCACTGGTTTCCCTTAAATAGTTACATAATATAAAATTTGCCCAAGAAAAATCATTCTCCAAGAAAATGTGGCCAGCTACTTTCAACTTTTAATATAATTCTACATTCAAAAGACTGGCTCTTAATTATTGCACACACACCATAAATTACTCTTTAAAATTTAATGTTTTCACTTTCAGTGAGATTATTTAACACTTAAGCAGCTGTCAGTTTTTAGGGAATATTCAGAGGAGTGTCTATTAGATTTGGATATTTCATTTTATGAGCTTGGCCTGTGTTTAGTATTAAGAAAATTGTTCACTTTTCAGCTAAGATTTTCCTAGCTTTACTCAGTTTCTTGCATTGTATATTTAAAGCTTTTAACTGCAGGCAAACTGATTGGAAAACTACTGTATTTTTGGCTTTTAATTAAATCCCAGTCTAATTAATGGTTAGAATAGTTTTTCTCTCAAACTAGTCTGAAAAATATGGGAAGTGACTAGAATGGTAAGATAGATTTGTGTGCAACTATTTAATCGTACCAACCTGCACTTCTTTTTCCGTTCACCTAGAAATCCCATTTACCTCTGAATATTTTTGGTTGTGCAAGAAATGTAGAATAGTGGCTGAATAGCTTTTTTTAAAAGTTTCTAGAGGTAGTGAATAATCTGTCATCTGAAGTACAGATCAGATGCTGAGAAATATCTATGATTTAAAAAAAATCATTCTTTTTTTTTTTAAAAAGTAGCAAATAGCCTATTTTTTGCAATCAGAGGGGTTTGTTAGACTTTCTTAAATAAGAGGAACAGAAAGAGAGAAGCTACAGTGAAGTGTACAAAACTAAAGTCAAAATTATGAAGTCAGTCTTGATGCATTAATTGCTGTTGGACTGTCACTTTAAAAGTTCAGCAGTTGTAGCTGTTTTATCTGTTGTAGGTGATTTAGAAACATCTGGGAGGTCTATTTTGAGTAAAATTCGGGAGTAAATATTGTACATAGTAACTTTTGAAAACCACTTAAATTTTACATGGTTATTATCAAAGCTGTTACACAACTTTTTTTTCTCAGAATACCATGTAATTTCTACTTTCAAGAGGAATCCTCTCGAACAGGCCTTCAGACGGCCCAATGTAAATCTAACCTCCAATCACCTCTTATATCATTACTGGATTGCTGTAAGCCATAAGGCCCCAGCATTCCTGTATGATATCTACCTCAGGATTACTGGAAGAAGCCCAAGGTAATGGTGACTAGCTCTGTCTTGTCTGTTCCTCCAACTTAATTTTTTTTTGTCTTAAACACACCGTGCTTACAAAAGTGCATATTTAATGTTGAATTTTTTCTGATTATGCTTATACTTGTGGTTGAATTCTTCTTCTGAAAGAGAAAAAATACTTGCATTCAGGTTTTTTTCCACTAACAAGGATGACTGTATTTTTGGATAACTTTCATTCAGAGTATTAATTGATGTCAGCACAAACTTTAAAATTCAAGACCTAAATACAAGCGCTTTCTTAAATAATAGAAATTCAAAATATGTTGATCCTTATTTTTCCTACAGAACGCTATCTAAATTTGAGTTTCAAGATGAATCCTTTAGAACAAACAGTAAGGCGTCCCCATATAAAAATATACAGCAACTCCCTTTTGCTTCAGTTCTGGAGAACAGTTGGCCATATACTGCCTGCATTATTGAGTGATGTTGTTCTCAGGTTGACAGGTCAGAAGCCATGGTAAGAAGGACCATTTTGCTGCTAAGGTGGTGGAAGCTTGTGGATTAAGGCAATGGCATGAGCTTTCTCTTAGACTTGCAGACTACAAGCAATAACAATCAAGTGGCTGGGTGTTTCAGAGGAGTTAATGTTTGGCTGGGGAAAAGTTGATTTTTGATCTGTGCTTCAGGCCAGTAATCCTTTCTCTATGCTCTATGAGATGTCCAGCTCCAAGATTGTTGTTATTATAAACTGAAAATGAGTGGCAGGGGAAACAAGGGGGGGTCTGTTTTTTTCTTTTTTTTATTGGATGATGAAATGTTATTTGGCATGTACAGGGCATCTTCAGAATTTTTTTATCTTGCCACTCCATTCAGTTTATAATAGACAAGTTCTTGTCTAGCTAACACACTTTTTTTTTCTTGAAGTGGGAAAATGATATGGTTTTAACTAAACAAACATAACTAAATCACATTTAAGTAGTAATATGATCTTGTTTGTTCTGCTCCCCACACTACTTTAAATGTTTTAAATAATGTAATCCTTGAAGTTTCTCTGCTGTGTTTTTTATGACACTTTTATGTTCAATAACTTCTTGAAAACCTGCTCTGCTTTCACATTTAGAAACTTGATATAACACGTATAGTAAATGACTACTTTTTTTAATTGTCCCAGGCTTTAGATCAAACCTATGGGAGTTTGTTTGTTTGGGTTTTTTTAAAAGAGATTTCATTGTCGGCATGCTTTAAAATGATTCCAGTAGGAAAAGGTAATCCTCAAAACATGTCTTGGGTTTCAAACTTGTTTGACCTTGGAGCTGTCTTGGTGAAAATGTAGAAGAGCGCACATGTGCTTATATTAGCATTCAAACACATCTTTGGATTATAAGCTCTTTGGGGTAAGAAGCATTCAATTTGTACAATGCCTAATGCAGTTAAGGCCCGTGTGTAGGTACTATTGCAGTATAAACCATGAATGGTGTCTTCCAGTAGCAATAAATAGCTACACACAAGATCGAGTCTACTTAAATGCTAGTCTGTCTTGGGTTGGGGGGGCGGGAGGGAGAGTGATCAGTAAATGACTGCCACAAGCATGACTGAATTTCAGAAGTCATTGAAATAATTGCCATTTCTTGTTTCCCCTTTGACTAGTTTTAGTAGGAGTAATGAGAAATATCTTATTCAGTCCCTGTCACTGGATTTCTACCTCAGGTGACCCAGAGAGAAGGGGTGCAAAACCCTTTTTGCTAGGTTTTAATTTTATGTGGATATATTGGAAAGGTCAGACCTAGTTCTGTCTTGCTGGAGTACTTATTTGAATCCCAAAGATGTGAATTGGGGGTTTTTTAAAGTCATCTTACAAATGGTGAGGTACTAAATTTACATAAGATCTCTTCCAGTTCATGGAGAATTGTCAGCATGAAGGCTCTTACAGATGACTGCTTTTAAAACAGCAGCAATAGGCAAGCAGTGAGTGAGTTTCCCAATGTACACAAGACTTAAGCAGGTGGAATAGATATCAACAATGCTGCATGATACTAAATTGAGAGAAACAGTTATTTAGGCTGTTTAAAAACTTTTAACTTACTCAAATGGCTGGGCACACTGTGTGGAAGAATCTTTTGTGAAAGATGAAAAAGATGCCTCTTTAGCATTGGAATCTTTTCGATAACTAATAGTAGATGAGAAGACCTGTTCTTACTTCAACTACCAATTTACTTGTGCATTACTGAAACCACTGTCTGTTTTGTTAGCCGTGATGACTCAGTTTGTCTTACCAAGACCCTTTCTTCCTTCGCATTGTATCCTGTCTACATGGGCAATGTCCTCAGACTTTCAGGTTTTGTTTTTTAATTTTCTATTCAGAGGAATAGCAATATATAACACTGCGTGTTACATTTATTAAATATATTGGTTTTAGATTGTTTTGTTGTTACAATTTAATTGTACACTGTATGGCCCGGATCTTTAAAGTTACCAAAAGAACCCATGCAAGAGCAAAGTACATTTGGAAGGCAGCTTAACTAAATCACCTGAAGACTTCCTTGGCTTGAAGTTCACTGCTGTGGTTGGGTGCTCCTCTTGGTCCTGTGGCTAGGGAGCATGACCAAGGAACAGTAACCTGCAATATATGGTTACAGCAAAAATCACTGGGCAAAATCAACCGTGAAACTGACATCACTAGCTCCACAGTAACAGCTTATCACTCCTTCCATATACCATTTCTTTATTGAATCTTGAAGCCATAATGTGCTGAATGCCACCCCACCCCCCACAGGTAACTTCTTTGCCCGTTGCTTGCAATATGAAAAAAATTACAACCTATAAATGACAAATCAACTAACTTGTTTTATAAAATAAAATACTGGAACAAGTGTTCCATTGCCATAGTAAAAGAGAGATCTCAATGGAGGGGGTGGGAACCTAGTTAGAGTTGCTTCTGCAGTAGTGACACTTGTCTTTCTACACTGAACCATAATAACAGGCTCTTTGTTTTTGTAGTGTTCTCTTCAATAATTTTTTTCAGTCACACTCCTGTTGCTCTCTTGGTCCTGTTTTAGGGCTTAATAGTTTCAAAGAATTGTGAGAGAGAGTGTGCATCTAATCACATTAGCAGTTCAGATACTTACTATTTTAATTTCAGTAGTGTCTTTTTCCCTCAATTTCTACACTTGGAGGACTTTTAGGAAAAGGGGCACACTATATAAAATTTATCATCTTTCAGCATATTATACACAAACTTAAGGAAGGGGAAGGAAGACTTGATAGATACAACCTTCTACTCCAGGGTTTTTAACTAATGTGTGCTGTAGGACTCTAATGTTATCTATAGGAATTGATAATAATTGTGTCCATATAAATAGTAGTAGTCAGCAGTGCTAATAGCACATTTGTAGCTTTAGCAAGTGTTATGCCTTGAGAAACCTAACCACTTGTATCACAATGCAGCTGTTTACTACTTAACTTTTGTGCAAGGCACTATACAAATCTGGCAGTGGAGCTATGGTGTCTTTTTGTATAATGATTACAAATAAACAAACAGTATTTTAGCCTTCTTTTATCTGACCTGTTCAAGTACTTTCAAACACTAATCCATTATAACTTTTTTTTTTTTTTTTTAACTCTGTGGGAAACTGAATGTGTAGCATAGAGCCCTAGTCAGGAATTTGGCAATCCCAGCCAAGTCTAGGAAATTGTTACTTAAGATGTGTAGCCAGTAATAAATAAGAATATCATTTGTATGATCTTAAATTGCAGACTCTTCAGTGCTTAGTATATAGTGCTCTTCATGCAGTGCTAAGACTGAACGAGTGAAGATTACACCTACTGAGCAAAACTAGGTGTGTTTCCTAGTAATAACAATTTTTCCCTTTCAAGCATACTGCTCTGAGAACCATAGAGCATTCTGAAAGATATGAATAATTCAAGCTGGTGTATAAATGTTGTAAATCTGAATGGAAGTATATAACATCTAAAAGCTGATCGGATGTTATTTTTTTAAAAAGAATATTGTGGTCATTTCAGCTTCTCCTGCTGTGGGAAGATATCAGAAGACGATCCAACTAATCTTTCAGACAGGGAATAAAATATGACATCAGTCTGTGGTACAATACAGCTCTGGTAAAACATTGTTCTATAAGTAATTTGGAGAAGATGCTATTTGCTGAGGTCAAGGGCTAGGTATGGAGTCCAAAAAGCCTGAGGCTGAATCAATTCAGTCTTTGCAGATTAGTCTAAACTGTACAGATTAAATTGAAATGGGAGTAAACAGACACTTACCTTTTTTGATTCAGGAACTGCAGTTAGGTGTCTGCAGTGGCTCAGGCCAGAAGCCAGGGAGCTAGAGCACAACTCTCTGGCTATTTGTTCCTCTTTCTGCTGCCCCTGATTTTTATGGGATTTGCAGTACAGAATCATAGTAGCAAGACTCTACAAGATTGGTCATTTCTTCTTTCTGCTTCCAGGTGCCTTTGGGACTTGTAGTCCAGTCACAGCCAGCAGTAAGTTTTTGAGCAGGGGAAGGGATGTTTAACCCCTTTCCCTGGCCCCAGACCCCAGCTAGGGTTTGCCTGGAGGGGGCAGTCCCCCCTGTACCCTGGGCTGCATCCCCAGCTAGGCTTGTCAGTTGTCCCTCACTGCTCCAGCTAGGGAGCAGAGTGGCAGCGCTAGCTCTGTTCTCTGGAGCAGATAGCACAGTAAAGCCCAGGTCTGGAAAGTATGATGGGGGGGGACTGATTTTTACAAGAAGGGGTCTGGGACAGAAGTTTTGTAGACTGGTTTGACCCAAATCAGTTCAGTCTGATACTACATTCAACCAGGTTCATTTCAAACCAGTTTCAACCATTTTGAAACTGGTTTATGTGCACTGAGCTTAAGTTCTGTTACAAGTTTAAACCAGTTTCTGATCACTTAAACCCATTTATGTGTAACTTCTGTCTTTAGCCAAGGTGGTCACTGACTGTCTTAGCCTGTATGCAACCAGATGCATGGGAGAATAAGGTTTCGCACTTGCTTCTCCTTTTTGCCCCTCCAGAACTAGAATCCACATTAAAACTTACAAGTAATGTTACAGCAATATTCCAGGTATTTGAATTGCACTGTGTGCTTCGCAAAGACCCTGCCAGTGTCTTGCTGTAATGCAACGAGAAGCTTCATAAATTAAGAATTTAGCAGCAAAGCAGTCTGTGGCTTTAAAGTTTTGCTTGAGGTCCCTTCTGTTCTTGCTATCTCTTAGAGTTACAGAAGTTTCATGTTATTACAAATGTTTAACTTTATTTGTATTCCCTTGTACCTTCATTCCATGCTTACATGAAAAACTGAAATTTTCATTACCTATTTAATGTTGCAGATTTCTCATGGATTTATTCTTTTCTTTCTATACTTAGCAATAAGAGCAGTAATAAGTTTTATTCCAAAGCTTGCTCGTCCACAGAGTGGTGACTTACTGGAGAACCTGGCCTTTATTTGAAAGCGGAATTATTCTTAGTTTGGCTGCATTTCAGAAAGACGTTTTATACATAGTGCTTAAAGGCAAACAAATAACTTGGCATGAGTGAAACTCGAACATCTTTGTAACTATTTTATTCCATATATCTGTAAATTTTTTTGGTTTAAAATCCTTGTTCATGTTCAGTGTGCGTCTCAAGTGCTAATAGCATTGGTTATACATCTACATAACTTCAGTTAGAATTCTGCATGTTCTCCAATGATGCCTCTGAAGATGACTGACATTTGAATTTTACAATGAAGAAAATATATAGAAAACCTCTGACCATTTTGTGGCTACTAGCAGAAAGTGTGCTACAGTAGTAACAAATTTTAGATGGCTGACTTTGTTTGTGGTGATGTTTTACTACTTGCAAGGATACTTATTAAGCGTATGTAACAATCTAAAATACATATTTCTTTAAAAAAAACAAAAAACCAAACAGAACCCCAAAACTTCAGGATCAGGTCTATAAACAGTGGAACTCCTGTCCTGCTGTTAGTTATGTGAATTTCAACTTCTGGATAGGATATGATGACCACTGAAGCTGTAGTGGAACATATGCAAGTCTTGCTTGTTGGGGCCGCATGAATGCCCCCTTAGTGACACTGTCTGCTGACATCTTGGTGGGTAGTCTTCTACCTTGGCTCCTGCGGCAAGGAGGGTGTCTTCTACCTTGGTTCCTGCGGCAAAGATAAGGAACCTAGTCATTTCTGTTTAGTCAGTCTTAGCCCCTTCTGGTTTTATCCCACCCACCCCCCTTTCAAAAAAAATACAGTATTCCATTTGCAGCCTTCAGGGTCACTGGCTAGCACTGAGTTGAAGAGGAACATTTAATTGCATTCTGTCTGCTCACTTGTCTATCTTCAACTGAATAGCCATGTGCATTACTTAATGTTCTGGAGATGCTTGTACATGTTAAGGCTAGGCTTTTCTGCCTAGAACTCATCTGTTCTGGCAGCTGAAATGGAGAGCATGCAAATAGGAACTAAAATTTTGAAACATTTTGTACCAGTCCATCAAGCTGCAGTATCATCTTTTAAAACAGTGTTCAGCACCAGAGCTCTCCATTTAAATGGGCAAGGCTTGAGCCCCAGCCTCAAAGTCGGTACCATCTTCAGTGCTGGTTTTTTTTTTTTTTTTAAAGAGAACAGAACTCTCTTATACAGATTTTTTCGTAGGCTTTTTTGGTCAGTTTTAACTGTTCCTTTACAATCTTACAAATGGCTTGTAGATCACATCAGTATCTCTATAGATGCTTTTGGTTCACCATGATGAAGTAGTAGTAGCTTATTGGTCACTGCCTCTGCCTCAGTGTGAAATATATTTCAGTGCCATTCACATACCAGAGCTATATAAAAGTAAGAACTTAAGTTCTTCTAGGAAAGCTTGCCAACACTAGGCCAGGATAGTGTTCTAAGCTTCATGCTCAAACAGAGCCTGTGTTGTGATTCATTTTGTATGTCTTTGGCACTGCTGAAGCTGGAATATTGAATCTTTGGTTTTCTGCTATTGGCTTTAAACGTCATCTTTGCACAACCTATCCCATTGTTTCCCAAACTCTTTTTTTGCCCCACGGCGCACTTGCCAAATAAAGCACTGCAGCACAATTGGGGGTGGGGAGGAGGGTGTACAGCTAGCCAGACACAGACTGGGAGGGGTGACATGTCCAGCAGAATGGCATTTTGAGCTGGAGCCACACCTCCTGGCTGGCTGGAGCCACTCCCCAGCTGTCTGTCCACAGCAGCAGCAGGCTGGGGGCATGGCTCCAGCCAAAATGCCGCGGCACACCTGGACATGCCTGATGGCACACCAGTTTAGAATTGCTGATCTATCCCCCACTCTAGACTGGGAAGCAGGCCCAGGAAAGGAACGACCTTTGCCTTGGTTCACCTTTGTCTATCTAAAGGGACTTTAGAGCCATCAAATACTTCTTTTCGGAGTACTGCTTGATCTTGGATTTCAAACCATCCGTGGCCCTGACCCCACTGGCTCTGCTTCTGGCACCAAAACCTTCACTTTTTTTCCCACTGGTTGTAGCACTGTGTAATCAAAAGCATTCTCTCAAACATCAGCCCTGTTGTTGTATCTGAGTTAAGTTACTACTAGTGCTGCAATTGCTACTTCCAGCCTTGGATGAGAGAGGTGAGTGGAATCAGTTCTGTGAGTGGGACATCTGTGTTTGATCCTTTGAGGGCTTCCCCACCAGATGAGCTCCATTAGTTTTAAGAAAAACTAAAAAGATAGTATGCAGAGGAGCTACACACTGCTGAGGCTCTTGGGGCCTTTTTTTTAGAGCTTCCCTTGCTAGTAGTTTTTAGCAGGGGCAGCCAGATGCATTAAGCTCTAATGCACACTTTTTTTTTCTATTTTTTGGTATTCAGAATCTTACTATAGACTTATTTATTGTGGACTGTGAATTTACACTTGTGTAAATTAAGTCCACAATAGATATGACCATAGCAAGAAATGTGTAAATTCACAGGGGTCTCAGAAGAAAGGTTACTTACCTGGAACTGCTCTTCAAGAGCCTGCTGTTTATATTCGCATTCCTTCCTACCTGTTAGACCTTTTGTTTGCCTGGTTTGGGATTCTGTGCTTCAGGAGATAGAAGTGATGTAAATAACACTGAGATGTCAGCTTCTTAAATCACTAGGGAGCATTCTTGCATTGCTAATGACCAAATTGCTTTGATCAAATTTCCAGGATTCTGCCTTAGCCCACCTACAGGTATTTAATTGTAGAGGCAACCTTTACAAGAATAACAGTTAACAGTGAATGTAGTTGCTTATTATGAACTACCATGCAGTTATGGAGCAAATCTTGCTTTCCAAAATCCATTTCATGTTGGTGCTGGGATTTCTTTTTGTTTTCCCCTTTTGTCCCCTGCTTATGTCAATTGGTGCCTTCAGTTGTAAGGATCGGATCAGATTGGAAGTACTTCTGTAGAAGTCTGCAAGACTGGGAAAGAAAATACTTCTTTCAAGGACTAGCATTAAGTTGACTTAACTAGCCTTGGCATTGTAATAATGGGCAATTCTCTCTCCCCTCAATGTGTATTGTCCCTAATATAAAAACAAAAAAGTCAGTTTAAGTACAGCTCAGTATTTTGGCTCATCAAAAGTAGACTTCCTGAAACTGATCCTTATAACAGAATCCACTGAATTTCTAGTTGGGCAAGTTGCTTAACTTGAAAAGTAAAGGATGATAGACTATTCCTGCATACTCTAGGTATCATCCTCTGGAGTGGCTGCTTTGTATTGTCAATTCAGAGATGAGTACCTCACAGTGCAAAAGGGATCTACTGTGGCCTGGACAGATATTTAATCATTTCTTCACCCTGGTACCTGCATAGCAGAAACAAGGGGTATAGCCTGGCTGTGCCTCTTAGTATGTCAATCTTCAGCCATATTTTTTTGGCTTCTTAAAGTTTGTGTCCAGCCACGGTAGGGTGGTTCTATTTGGTACAAAGGAACTGATCCTGTACAGAGCTGGTACTAGGATGAAGGGGAGTGCATTTATGACTTTCCTGTTTACTTGACGTTGCATTACAAGTGCAGTTTCCCCAACAACTTCTATTTTGTAGATTAGCTGTCTCATAAGATTTGGTTTAGAGTACTGTTTCACCAGCTAAGTTACTATAGTTGAGAATCCATATTCAGTCTTTTTGTAGAGCCACCTTTTTCTAAACACCTTGGAAAAGGTACAGATGCTAGATTAACATAGTAGGTCACTGAACCCAAAGTTTCTGGTTGTAACTGCTGGTGAAGAATCCAATTAGATAATTTATTTTTTATTAACAAAATAAACAGTATGCAGAAATATGATCTGTTAAAATAAGCTTTGTGCACTGGGCAAACTGGGAATACACAGTATTTAATGCATAGTTTTGAGGGGAAAATGGTGATTGGGGATGTTGATTTTGAATCACTCACGTTTGTAATCTGTAAATCCCCTTGCTTGGACTACAGGATGATGAAAGCAATAACTCGTCTTCACAAGGCATTGATGTTTTTAGAGTACTTTACAAGCAATTCGTGGACCTGGAGTACTGACAATATGACTATGCTAATGAACCAGCTAAGCCCTGAAGACAAAAAGGCAAGTAATGTTTGCATAACATGAGTTTGAGGACTCTGTTTGAAGAGCCCATGAGAAACTAATGGAATAGGAGTTCATTTAAGATGGGCTAATGGAAAATGTTTTTAAAGGTAATGCCATTCAGTCATCGGGGGGGGGGGGGGAGGAGGGGTTGAATCAAACGAACAAAAAGGTGCGCAGTGTATCGGAACTATCATGGCTTTGTCTCTGCTATGAATAAGTCAATACTGTTTTTACAGACTGCTGTTCCTATGGAAGGATATAGTAGAAACTTTTTGTTTTGTTTTTTGATAATGATCCATTTAGGAAATACCATAATTCTTCCATGCCTTTTTTGCCTAGAAATTCTATGGTCTGTTATATTGCACACTATGATCAGGTGAGACAAGTGTGACCATTAAAGCCTTTGAATTTGTTTATTAGGCACTCTGGGAAGTTGCACAGTCTTAGGCTTTTTAAAAGCATTTCCAGGAAATTGATCTGTAGACAAAGCTTAACATTTTGATTCTGCTAAGAGGCTTTACAGTTTGGACTAGGCAGACAATGCAAACGAAATACATAAATGTTAACCTAAGAACTGTCTCCATGTATTCTGTCCACAGGAAAACTCTACTCTTTTGGTTTAATCTTTTAACATGAGGGGCTGGGTGGGGAGGGGTGAAGAATACATCATGCTGGCCAATAGAATATTGAGAGGATGAATGAAATCAAACTGAAGTAGGCAGATTTGTCTCCTGGACGTACTTTCATTGATAAATATATTTGTTCTGGCCTAGAGGTTCTAGCTGTTGTACTTCTAGTTCAGGATGGGTGGGTGGGGAATGGTGAACTTTCTGTTCTGTCCCTTTGGTTGTGGGGTATGTGCTCATGCATGACACGATAGATTAATGTTGAGATGCAGAACATAAGGCCCCCTTCAGACATTAAATACCACAAACTTCATCACAGATCCCCAAAATGGGATGTTCTATGATGCATGTGTGGTACAGCAAAATATACAGCTTTGGGGATCTGTGATTAACACTTGTAATGGTGTCTGCTGTGGCATGCAGCTGGCTACATCTGCTCCCTCAGGTGGGGAGTGCAGTGAATCGGTGACCTTTTTATTACAGAATGACTTGCCTGAAAGTAAACTGTGGGATACTTGCCTTTTGAATCTTCAAGAAGCAATGTATGGAGAAGGCCTAAATTAGGTAAACCAGCTGAAAAAGAAACCAATAGCAAGTACAGAACTTGAAACAGTTGCACTATGCATACATTATAATATTATTGCATATAAATTCCTGAAGAATATAGGGTTAATATTTTAGAAGTTAAATGCAACCCAGAACTATAAAGAAACAAGCAATCAAATCCTGGTTCTGGAATTCAGTCTCCAAAATCCTAACTTGCATGTTACGCTTCCTTGATCAGACACAGCAGCCAGTTGATGTTCGTGTTTTTTAAATTTTAATTCCAGGTAGTTTTCCTAAGCTATGCAGTTCTGCTGCTTTCCTGTTCTGACGTCCCAAGGAAATGGTGTTCTTTAGACTATTGTAGGGCCTCCAAATAGCCTCTGCTATCAAGATGATTCTTGGAAGGAAATGTGCATAAAGAGATATCAAGCTTGGAATATTTAACAATTATTTCAAGCTATGAGCTTAAAATTTTTCTGCTTTTAATAACTTAATTTCTGTGAACTTCCAGTCAATATTGGTGTGAAAGATTTGATATTTTTTTTTATACATGGTTTACATATACAGTGCATTTTATATGGGTATCGTGACATGTATCTTTAAATGTTAACTTGGTTGGAATGCTGAGCTGTTGGTATCAACTACTGGATAAGGAGTGGTACCTCCTGTTACAACTTATTTTTCCTGAATATTTTTTTCAGCGTTCCCTAGTGAGCTCGTTTCACACTTATTTTGCAAGTCGACAGCATAAACAAGCAGCTTACAAGTCAGCCTGCCTTGTTCCAGTTACAAAGCTGTTTGGCCTTTTGACCTTCTTAGGACCTTTTTAGCTCTTTTATCTGAAATGTGGTATGGGTAAGACTAGGAAAATTGTAATGTTCTGTGGGACTTGCCCTGCTTTCCATTGAACATTTCTTTTGAGATGAAAGAATCTAGCTATGATGCTAAAACATGAAGTTCTACTTAAAAAAATCTCTCATGGTGAAGAAATTCTGTATGTAATATACATGGAACATGGGATTCTCTGGATTCATAGTGCACTAAACTATACCATATTCAGAATTGCATAAGGTAAAATGCTGAAGAACTATGCAGATTAATTTTCATTATTAACAAGCCACAAAACTAAATATAAAAGCCCTCAATGTGAAAATGGACTAGAATAAATGCCTAATCGTTTAAGTGACTTGCAGATGCTACTGAAATTAAGAAAACATTTCTAAAGTAGGGTAATTTACAGATTAAAGATGAGCTATTGGATGATCAGATAACTTGGCAAAGATTACATGTATACAGACTAAATAGAATCTAGGTCTTTTGGATTCTTTTTGTGGCTAAAGTGCCCAGTATAATTATTTAATTTCATCTGATGCCTCTGATATAGTGACACACGGTCCATGTCATGTCCTTTCTTGAATTAGGAGATAAGAACTTTTTAATATAGATGACTTTTCTTGGGAGAGAGGAAGCTAATGGCTAACCCCCCCCCCCTTTTCTTTTTTAAACAGACATTTAATTTTGATGTTCGACAGCTACATTGGGCAGAGTACATGGAGAACTACTGTATGGGAACTAAAAAATATGTACTCAATGAGGAAATGTCTGGTCTCCCTGCAGCTAGGAAACACTTGAATAAGTAAGTTCTTTATATATCAGCTCTTTACCTCTTATAAGTATTTCATGTCTTTCTATCTTTGCCTGCCTCAAACTGTTGTTGTTAGAGTAATGGGTATCATGGTTAGATCTTTCTCTTTCAGAAAACAGTAGCATTCAAGAGTGCTGTCTTGTATGCCCCCATTTTGGAGGATAGTGGTACTTATTGATGAATCTGTTGTAGCTCCCTGCTCCAATGCAGTATGTCTTGCAACTACAGAAACTCCTTTTGTTTGGCATAAGGAATGCATCGATTTCCAAGTCGGCTATGTGCCAGAAGAATCTTAATGCTTTTACTGTGGTGTACAGATGTTACCAGAATTTTAGTGCACCTTGGGATGTTTTTTGGTATGGATTTCAGTGACTCTCACAGTGCTCTTAAGGTGTAAACATTGCTATAGATTAAAGTAGTAATCTGTAATAAGAAACAAACACAAGGGTATGGGGCAATGTAATCTACAGAACGAAATAGTTCTATTATGGCTGTTGCTTGGGTGTATTTTGATTTGGAATTCATGTCTATAACTGAATTGTACTAGTTATGCTTATTTCAGACTTCTACTGTGCCAAAAATCCCTTCTACCTAATTTGGTGCTGCTACCTTCAGTCCCCACCCAAAAAGATGACCCATTTTGGGAATGCATTATCAAGAAATGTTAAGCCTTTTTAATGCCTTAATCTACTTAAGTGTTTGGTTTCCTTTTTTAAAGGGAGAGAATCTAAAGTTGAAGTGCACTTCTTGATTTTACTAGAGGTACACGCATACATTGGTCCATATTATATTGGTACCAATCAAAGGAAAATTTGAGTTGGTCTGCCGTCTGCTTTTTTTGTTTTTGTTTTTGTTTTTTTGGCTAATGTGGCCGATTTTAATGTTGCCATGGGTTTTTTTGTATTTAAGTGCTGCGTGCACATGGCCAGGAGTGCAGCCCAGCAGCTTGGAAAGTAGTGTCTGGCTGGTAAGCCTGTGGGAGGAGGTGGGCCATGGATGGGAGTAGCTCGAGGCCCCTGCAGTGAGGGTGGGGGCTGGGGCAGGT